AAGGGGTATAAATATTCAACACATGAGGCAAATCAAAATTTGCCCAGAGTGGAGAAAACCCAAGGTAAACTTCTCTCCCCTTTCTCCTTATTTTTCTTTCTTTTTCTTTCTATTTTTACCCTTCCCCTTTTTTCGGCTCCCCTTCACCACCACCGGCCGACCCCCAGCAGCGGTGGTCGCCAGCCGGCAGCAGGTAGCCACCGGCGCCGGCAGCAGGCTGGTAGCTGTTAGTTGCCATGGCTTTCGAAAAAAAATCTTTATTTTTAAAAACCAATTCATTCCTAAGTCTAATTGTTAATTATGAGTTTTGGGATTTGATTTTTGGTGTTTGATTATGAGTAGTGTGTTAATTAATTTTCAGATTATGTTTTTAATTAAAAAGCCCCAGTTTTTGAAACCCTAGGATCTTGATTTATAAATAATTGAAGGGTTATAATGTATAATGGTTTAAACCTTTGATTAAAGTGTTTTAAAGCTTAATTACAACAATTTTTAATTAAAATATATCGCTGGAATTTTTGGTAGAGTAGTTAAAATCAAGTTGCTTTAAGGAATTTTAATTACCCATTAATTGGGATTAAAGAATGATATTTAAAACATAATTTCAGCTTATTTTAATTAAATTATGAGGGGTTTTATAATAGTATATATTGCTGGAAATTTGTGTAGAGAGGATTTTAATAATCTTCTATGATTTTAAATTGTAGGAGACTTTGAAGTGAGCGATTTCTATTAGTCGTGGCGACTTTAAGATCATATACAAAGTACGTTCGCATACTTAGCAAAATTATATTGATGTAGTAGTATGCTAAATGTGTTTAATTGATTACAAGTAGTATCATGCTAGGTATAGAATGGAAATTATGATTTGGATGTTATTGGTGATTGGATTATGAAACATAATTTGTTTGTGATGGATTATTAAATGGAAAATTATAGTTTGGAATATTATTTATGAACCACATATTTATTTGTGGCATGTTAGAGAGCATGTTTAATTAAACTAAATGTTTAATTTGGTATGGAATATAATATTAAAATGGAATTTTTTTATGGTTCATATAATTTTTTATTGATGCTATAAGCATGAAGAAATAGTTATATAAGTGTCTATGTACACGAGGAATAAATTGTATGTGGGTGCCTTAGTGCACTTAAGGTGTTTTTAACACCGAGGGATAGGATTTGTGGGGCTTTATGCGTTTAAGGTGTCATTGGCACTGAGGTATAATTAAAAAGGATTCAACATTTGAATATTATGTGGTCACTAATTATTCAAGAATTAAATTGGTATATTTGATTGATTGAACAACTATTGTTGATTGAATGATTATGGTTTGAGAGTAATCACAAAGTCTAATAATATGTAAATAACGTAAATTGAAAGAGATTACGCACCAAAACTCTTGGAACGTAAATACCTTGAGTATGAACATATGGGGGGAGTTATGTGACTTTATATTTGATCATAACTTCTACTGGACGTTGTACATTCCTTTTATTATTATTATGCGCAGGAATTTCGCCACCTATAAGTGGTTATTGATGCTGGCACGGTTAGCTCACGTGTCAGTCACCACAATTTATTTAGGGGAGGCTAGTGGGGAAACCCGTTTGATGCGTAGTCAACATTAAATAAATTATGTAGTGTCTAGTGAGAACTTTTATTGAATGTTGTATGCTTGAAAAACAGGTGCAACGAGGTAAGTTGTATGTTGATAGGAAATTGTATGTTAGTGTGTTAATTACGCTTATTTACTCAGCTTTGCTGATTGTGTGTGTTTGTGTGTTTGTTAGCCTTTTATTTATCTTGGCCCTATGATGACCCATTTTTAATGGAGAGTACTGGAAACAAGTAGAGAGAAGCTTTTTAGGTGATGAAGCATATTCATGAATGGACATGAGTGGAGAGCGAATCATGCAAGTTTCTATAAGTATATGATGTGTTTATTGCCTTATTTATTTATGTCGTTATTATTATGCGTGACTAATGAAAAGGTTTTGAGATCTGTTTGGTTTTAATAAGGGCCTACAATTGTTCCAAGTTGTAGGTTGATTTTATTTTACTTCATTTGACTTTGGCTTGACTTTACTTTCGTTGATTGACTTTTCAAGTTGACTTGTTTTGAATTGTTTTGAAATTAGTCTTCCGCTGTGTGTCTTTGATAGTTGCCTTAGTCGTTTTCACGGTAGCGATAATGTTTTAGATATTCCTATTTAAAGTTTTAAACAAGGCAAAACAGGTATTTTAAAAGAAATGAATTTCTGAAGTGTTACAAGTGGGTGTAATATATGCTTGACACTACTACAAAATTAGGCAAAGATACCCGTCAAAACATGTCTTAGAGACCACCTTCTGACGGGTCTCTATCTCATGGGTCTGTTTGATAAACAGACCACCTCATGAGTGGGGGTCTGTTTTTAAGGAAGAAGAGACCTGTTACCAAAGATAGGGGGTCTGTTATATTACTAGGTAAGAGATCCTTTATTAGAGAAATGGGGTCTCTTTGCTTAGTCATTTTAGACCTGTCATTTAAGAAATGAGGTCTCTTAGCACATTAATTTTATTAAAAAAAAAATAGCTCAACGTAACCAATTAATTTTTATTTTTTTTAATAACCAACAAAACCCAATATCAAAATGAATAAATATGAATTCATAATTATAATAAACACAATCCATGAAAACTAAATTACAATTTTCATTTTAGTCGACATTGGTACAACAAAGATTATACATTATACAAAGTATAAGGTACAAGAGTGTAACTGAAGCAAATTAAAGATCATCAAATTAATTTAAAAAATAGTAATCAATAGGAAAAAATGCCTCAAACTCTTAGATAAGTTAAAAGTTGCAGTAGCTCCATGGTGAAAAGGAAAGCGCTCCAAATAATACAAGCTGCAATACATAGTTTCGAGCTCCAAATCTCCAATTGTTAACTATTCCAAGATCACTCATTTCCTCGGCGACGGAATTACCAATGAGATATCCATAGGCTCCAATTGACACTTTGCAAATGACAATAAAAAAAAAAATCAATTAAGAATTTTACCAATTAACATAAAATTGAACAATCAACAAACAAAATTTCTGGTATATGTAAATCTAAAATAAGGATACACAACCGCATAGTGATTCCCATTAGATCTTCAATTGAGGAAAACTAATTTTTTTTAAAAAAGAGTAATTGAGTGAATGCAAAAGAAATTAAGTAAAAGAAATAGTAGATTTTAGTAGTAGATGAAGTTAGAGACCTTTCTTGGAAAGGAATATACCATCAAAGAAAAACATTATTACCTATTTTTTTTTTCAGAGAGTAGAGATACAGAGTCATTTATACTACCTCCGGATCGTATTACATACAACTTTGGATTTTTTATATCTCACAAATAATACCCCAAAGTTGCATATAATATGATCCAGAGGTAGTACTAAAATGCAAATATAAGTTTCCCACAGACCATAAATTATAAGTAAGGAGGAAGAACGATTACATTTTTTTTTTCTTCTGAAAGTAGAAGAGCTGATGAGTATCTTAGATCTGATGATCAACTTCCATTGAATATTTGCAAAACATCAATGGAGGAAAGAAGTGGAAAAGACGGCGAATTTGATTTTGATTTTAGGGTTAAGGTTAGGGTTTTGAGGAGAGAGAACCGTATGTAAGTTGGGAGAATAAAATAATTAAAAAGAAAATGAAATGAAAAGAGAAGACAAACTATCACTGTCATATGTGGACCTCTAATAGTCTAATACACGTAAGAGACCTATTAGGTGACAACGGGTCTGTGCATTCTTCTTCTTTATTCTGCTAATTAATTTGTGGGCCCTAAAATTTGTAAGAGACCCGTTACGTTATAGAACGGGTCTCTTATCACGTGCAAATAACATTACAGACCCGTTATAATTAATATAGGATCTCATAAATCAAACAGATCTGTTAGGTAAATAACGGGTCTTTTTTGCAAATTTTGTAGTAGTGTGAATAACTGAGGGAAAAATGGTGATCACACAGTGCAGTCTTGACCACAATCATCCTCTTGATCCAAAATCTAGCCAGATGATGGTCAATTACAGAGGTCTAGATCGTAATACACTAAAAATTCCTTTCCTTTAAAATACATGTTTTGCCATTTTATAATACAAATATAGAAAAATCTAATACATTACCGCCACTGTGAAAATGACTTATGAAATTATCAAAGACACACAACGGAAGACTCCCTTTAAAACCATTAAAAACAATTCAACTTAAAGCCAAACCAAACGAAAATAAAGTCAAACAAAGTCAACCTACAACTTATTACCATTGTAGTCCCTTATTAAAACGGGAACAATACTTAAAACATTTGCGTTAGTTTCACATGCATAATATAATATAATAATTAATGCAATAAACCACATCATATTCGATCCCTATGGAACCTAAGCATAATTCGTTCTTCACTCATGCTCATCATGAATATGCTTCATCACCTGAAAAGCTTCTCTTTACTTTGTCACCACTACTCACCATTATAAATGAGTCGTCGTAGGGCCAATATAAAGACAAGGCCAAACAAACATATAAACACACAATCAGCAATGCTGAGTACACACACTACCACAAAAATGGGAATATAGAACACTTAAAACATACAATATAGAACGCCTCAGAGGCGTTCTTCTGGGGGGTGCCCTATAAGTCTACAGAGCGCCTCTTTGAGGTGTTCTATATCTAACACAATACAAATCCCCTGTCTAAGATATGCGCTTCTTATTTTAGGTAAAAGGTAAATAAAAAACAAGGAAAAGAGAGTTGTCATCTTAGTGAAGGCGCTCTATAGCTTATAAAAATAGAACTCCTATCATAGATAGGCGTTCTCTATTTCTTACTTTTAAAATTAAAATTATTATTATTATTTATATAAATAATAATAATAATGTTCATAATAATAATTCACGTAATAAATAAAAAAAACTATAACAATAACACTTTATTTATAAAAAAGTTAAAATACAAGTATTTGAATTATAATAGTAAATTCCTTATGGAATAAAAAGTTACATTACAAGTTTTCTAACACAACTAATTAATTATCAATGCGCTGACAAAGACTTAGGAAGTGCACCGAATTGAATTGCCATCGAAAGTCGAAATCTCCGCACTAACCACACCACCACCAGCTTTCATGAATCTCAACCACCGCATATATAGCCTCCACCAACCTCTTGAGAAGCCGCACCTGCAAATCAAAAGATGAAAAATAAAAAATTAATCCAAATTATAACATATAAATCAATTGATAAAAGGTAAAAATCACAAATTATTACGTGAAAAGAAATTAATAAGAGATGAAGATCAGATTTAATCATGAAAATCAGAAATTATAAAATATGAAAATCAATTGACAAAAGATGAAAATCAGATATTATAACGCAAAACCAAGCTCCAAAAAGATCTAAAATCATTTAGAAGTAAAACGAAATTATAAGTTGAAAATCAAATTTTTGAATTAGAATTAAATTATGTACTATAGATCGATTAAAAAAACAAAAAACTCATATATCAATCACTTTAAAACAACAAAAAAAAAAACGAAATTAAAGGTTGAAATTCGAACACCAATGAGATTACACTTCATATACCTTTATGCATATTTAGACATAATTAACAATCTATTTCATAACAGCAACATCGCATCACAACGCACCCAAATCAAACGACGACGGCTTATTAGGTTCAATCTACGGCGGTGTTGCAGCGGAGCTTTACCGGTTCATTGAAACTGATTTGAATGTAATCAATTGAATTCATTTTCCGGCTCCAAACCCTCCACATTTCTTCGATCTACAATTCTCAGATCTAGATTGAATGCAATCAAATTTAATTTTTGAAAATTTGAGGGAAATGATACAAATGACCACTCGTTGATCTTGATTTAAAACCGAAAAATAGATTTACTTTCCTAATTATTTTTATTTCATAGGGAAGATTTTTATTTTAAGTTTGAGAAGATGAGAGGAATGGAGATGAGAAGAGAAAGAGAACAGAGAAAAAAAAAGAGGAGGGGAGAGCGGCGTGCGGGTTGAGGGAATGAGGGGTAGGTTAGGTTTTCATTTCATGTGGTAAGAATTTTTATTTATTTTCTTTATTATACTAAATCTTATAGATCGGTTATCTAAGTCAGCGATCTATATCCATAGTCTATTTTTTTATATTAAATATATAGAACGATTAACATGACAAGCGCTCTATAAGTCTTAACATATAAAGCACTCAGATAGGCGTTCTATAAAATGCTAGAGGTCGCCTATCTAACTTGACAACTCTATAGTGTGCGTTATGTATTCCCTATTTTGTGGTAGTGTTAAGTGTTAACAAATCACACTAACATGCTTTCACCCTATCATCACACAACTTACCTTGTTGCACCTGTTTGCAAGCATACAACATTCAAAATGACTAACGTATTGAACGGGTTCCCCCCCTAACCTGCACCAATAAAGGGGTACTAACACGGGATCTAATCATTCCAGTATAAAGAACCACTCGTAAGTGGCGGAATTCTTGCGCATAATAAAAAGGAATATACAGCGTCATGTACTTCCAATAGAAGTTATGGTCAAATATAAAGTTGCATAACTCCCCGCATATGTTCATAGTCAAGGTATATACGTTCCAAGAGTTTTGGTGCGTAATCTCTTTCACTTTAGGTTATTTTAAATATTATAATACTTGGTGATGACTCTCAAACCACACAATCAAACGTTATAATCATTTAAGCAGTCAGACATACCAATTTAATTCTTGAATACTTAGTGACCATATAATCTTTAATATTAAACCCTTTTTAATTTACCTCAGTGTCAAATACACCTTAAACGCATAATGCACCACAAATCCTATCCCGCGCTGTTAGAAACACCTTAAGTGCATAAAGGCACCAAAAATACAATTTAACCCTCGTGTATATAGACACTTAAATAGCTTCTTTCTCATGCTCCATAAAAATTATATTTACCATAATAAAATTCATTTTCAAAATTCCAAACTCAATTAAACATGTAGTTTAATTAAACACACTCTCAATCATGCCAATAATAAAAGTGTCGTGGTTCATGCTCAACATGCCAACATAATTAATTCCAAACATTAATTCACTACAAATAATCTATACTTCACAAATTATTCACCAACGTCAATCTATATAACAATTCCAATCAATACCTATCTTGATACTACCTTGGAATTAATTAATCAAAGCCTAGCATGCTTCTACATTCTCAAATAATTACCAAGGATGTGAACATACCTTTAATATATATGATCTTAAAAATCGCTAGGACTACACGAAATTACTCAGTTGGAAATCTCCTACAACCCAAAATTACAAAGAGACATCCATACCTATTCAATGTAAATTTCCAACAGTAGATACACTCTTTAAAATCACTTATAAACCCTCTAAAATAAGCTGAAAATTAGTTAAGAACCCTTACTTTTATTCCCAATTAATGGTTAACTAAAAATCCTTTCAAGAAACATTATCATAACCTTTATATAAAAATTCCAACTATATTAAAACATGTAAAATTGATGTAATTATATTTAAAATATCTAATTTAATAGTTTCAATCACGTACAATCAAATTCCATCAATATACATCAAATTAGAAACCTAGACTTTTCAATTTGGGGCTTTTTAACTCATAAACTAAATCTGAAAATAATATACATAATAGTTATAATCAATTGCCATAAAAATTATCACACAACCCAAAAACAATAATTAAATCAAATGTAGATTAGAATTAAGACAAAAGAAGAGTTTTTTTTTTAAAAAAACTTGCGCACAAAAGGAGAAAAAGAGGGGAGAATGGTCGGCACCACCTCCTCGTGGCTGCTACTGCCGCCGGTCTGTGCTGGCAGCGACCGGCTGTGGTGGTGGTGGTTGTGTGTGTGTGATATGAGTAAAGAGGAAGGGGAAAAATGAAGGGGAACGAAAAATAAGATGAGAGAGAGAAAGAGATTTTACCTTTGGGTATTCTCCACCTTGGGCAAAGTTTAATTTGCTCATGTGATGGGTACTTATACCCTCTTCCAAAAACCCTCCTAACTTAGATTCCTTATCTACCCTTAATGATTCCTACTAGATATTGACTTCCTTAAAATACCATTGACTAAAAAACTTCCTTTTATAAAAATTATATGCCCCATGGTTTCTAAATTATAAAATATTTTCAAAACTATTAAATAAATAAAAATGGATCTTTACATAAAATAAACCTTTTAAAATAAATAAAATACCATAAATAGTTCATTTTGAATTATTTAACTACTTTATGAAATACTAATTTAAATTAAAATACGTACAAAACTACAGGGTATTACATTGAGGACCCAAATTTTGGTAGGATAATTATTACTAACCAAGCCAAAATCCCTATTGTTCAGAATTATACTACGCAAGTGATTAAAAACGAAGGCCACGAAAACTTGACCTTCAATAAAAGAGATGTAAGGAATGATGTGAACGTTGTAAGGCGCCGATCAAGGAGATGTAAAAGCTCTTGAAGATTATTTTGAAAGGCAGTGTATGTTTAACTGCCAATTTTAAAGTTCAATGTAGCCAGATGATGAAGGCAAATTGTTGAATGTATTTTATTCTGATGCAAGGAGTAGGGCATTAGCTAAAGATTTCAGTGACATCATCACATTTGACACAACCTTTCGCACTAACAGGTTTGCATCTTTGTTAACTTAGTTAATTAAACTCTAACAAGGACCATTTATTAATTAATAACTAACGTTGACTAGGTATCAAATGCATTTTGCCCCATTTGTCGGGGTTAATCATCACGAAAAAACGATATTCTTCGCTTCGTATTTGATTTCTCAAGAGGATGCACAAATCTTTGTTTGGGTTTTCAGCAATGAATGGAATGCATGGGAAAAAAAAACAATGGGAATCCTCACAGATCAGTGCAAAGCCATTGGAAAAGCAGTTGAGACCGTATTCCCTGATTTCCCCCACAGGCTATGCTTGTGGCATATGTTACAAAATGTACATAAGAGTTTAGTTGGACATCCAAAATGAAACAAAATAGATGTTGCCATGAGGACAACCGTTCAAAATTTTTTGGAACCAGATGAGTTTGATGAAGTGTGGACATTAGTTATGAAATAATTCGAATTGCGAACCAATGCATAGATAAATGAAGCATTTGAAATAAGACGGAGGTGGGATCTCTGACTTTGGAGAATTACATTTTGGGAAAGATTGTCGTCTGCACAGAGGAGTGAGCAAGCTAATCGTTATGTCAAAAATAATATCACCATTGATTCGGGTCTTGAATTTTTTTGTGAAAAGTACGAGTTGGAGTTACAGGGAAAGGTAGTTAAAGAGGTTGAATTGGACTTTAAGACTAGGCACAGTTCCTTAGCTGTTGACAAGGGTGTCTTAGCTGATTATGTGTTTCACAAAGCCTATACAAATGCTAAGTATAGAGAGGTGAAGGATGAGTTTGATGCTTTGAAGCATGTTAGTTTTACAAAGATTAGGACATTAGGGTCGATAATGTTTTATAAAGCAGATGAGATGAAGATACCCACCCTTATATGGAGGAAGAGGTGGAAGAGCTATTCCCTCACCATTGACAAGGACAAAAGGCGAGTTCAAATTTTCATGCAACTGGTTTGAGTTTTGAGGTATCCTGTGCAGGCACATAATACGTGTTATTGAGTCTGAGGACATTGATTGGATTCCTAAGAAATATATCCTACAACGGTGGAGGAAGGATATTGTCAGGTGTTATGAAGATATTAGGATGCCTTACTATGATACAAAAGAATCAACTCGAGTTGTCCAGGCAAGGGAATTGTCATGTAGGAATAATTATCTGCAGGGGTTAGCATTGCACAACAAGGAGACATACACCTTATTTAAGGAAGCAACAGATAGCATATGTACAACGCTTGAAGCCTCAATAGGAATAAACTGTCCTGCCAACGTCGATTAGGAATGGAGGGATCCAACCTCTTCAATTGTTTATGGTCGGTAAAGGATACGTCCGAAGGAGAATCATCAATGCCATTTAATCCGGTCAGCAGAGGATGTGAAGCTTGGCTGCATCAAAGACCTGAAAGACAAGCGTTACACTGGTAGGGCCATCAATAATCGTGCTCAGAAAGCAGGAGAAAGTGGAGCAGTGTCCAAAAAAAATATCTCTAACAGCAGAACAAATTGAAAAAAAGAGGTTTTAAGTAGTATTAGGTCAATATAACCCGTACAATGTACTTGTTAATTTCGTATGTGTTATGTTTACACTTAGTTTTCCTTTTGCAGGTTATTATACAGTCAACATTTGGTAGTATGGAGTGTTTCCGGAAAATGCAGAGACGTTATTCGGCTAATAACAATGTGCCAACACCCTCAAGATTGCCATGGGGTTATTCCAACAGACAACATAATGTTTCATCCACTTCCCGTGTAGACCCTTCTCAGGGATTGTCTCAGCAATACTGTTATCGGGATAATAAAAGTATACCTTATACTCCGTAATTGATTCATTTGATTGTATAGACCAATAAAACCAGGAAATATATACAATAATACAAGTAGTACAAAGAAGCTATTGCTTAAATAATACAATAGTCTGTAAATGTAACAAATGACTATTTAATTGCTACAATAAATATGTAGCCATTGTATTTGTTTTTAGTCTTAACCATTAAAATTCTAGGAATAAAAAACTTGATCATTTATTTGTTTAAATATAAAAATTTTGAATAAAAAAATACTAACTGCTTTATTTTTTAAATTATTGCTCCTTGTTTTTTTCGCAGAAAAATAATTAAAATATGTAAAACTTATTTTGGACGTCAAATACTAAAGTTTATCGCTATCTCTACCAAGCAAATTATCTCTCAATAAGACAGTCTCCATTAATTGTCCAACATAAAATTAACAGGGTGAACTTTGTATTATGATCAAGAATTGGAATATTACATCTTTTATTTTTAATTAACAACTCTGTATAATCATACTGTACGAAATAAATCTTAATGGAAGAAAGGGTTGGGATATAAACTTTTAAACTTTTAAGGCTTTTTTTAGTAATCGATCAATTACTATTACTAATTTTTGTTTCAAATAAATCTAATTTATTTTAAACTTTTAAGGCTTTTTTTAGTAATCGATCAATTACTATTACTAATTTTTATTTCAAATAACACTAATTTATATTTATTATTTACAAATATATCATTCTACTATACTTTGTATAAATTATTTAGTCAACTTTATCAATGGTCAAGATTTTATACTAAATTTTAGGGGTCCAGATTGAAATAAAAATTACAATGGCTACAATATTAATGTATCCATTGAAAAATTGTCCTAATGATTAATTATTACATTAAATGTACAAATGTTAATAAAATGACGTCTTCAATTGTTAGAGAAGAAGATGAAAAGACATTACGGAGTAGTAATTAAAGGACAGAGAAAAAGTATGATGATTAAATTGAGGAGTGTGAGGCGCGCTATCATAGTATCACTAATACTACACGTAACCCTTTTTAACTATACTTTTTACATACACTCTCTAAAAATCTTAACCTTTTCAATTTTAATTTCAGTTTTGATAATGATTATCAAAGAAATTTCATCAGAAGATCAACTTCATCACTCTTCTCCTGCTTCGATGTTTAGGGGTAACCATTAACCCACCTTGTTAGATTTCTTGTTTTATTATTTATTTTTATTTAATTTCCTTAATTTAATGAATAATTTCCGTTGATGATAGCTAGGGATCAAGATTTTGCCGGAAAATTCCGTCGTCTTCGGTTTGCCTTCTAACTCATTTAAAAGTCTTCGTATTTCCTAAGTTTTGTTTTCGTTCTTTACTTGCTTACTTCTTTCCTTGTTTGTAATTTTTGCATATACTGTCGTCTAACACTACAATATACGAGTATATTAGATTGCACCATTTAAATACAAGTTACTATTAATTCAATACAATTATTTTATGTTAGCCTCATCCTTTATTAATTGTTTTATCAAACCACTTATAAATTAAATTTCATTTCTTTGCTGATATTTTTTTTTCCCCAAAAAATAGTAATTCTAACCTATACATCTCAAACTCTTTTTTGGCTTTGATAGTCTTTAAAATTGAAACTAAAATCATGAAAACTAGTCGAAAAAGCTTAGCAAATTAAATTGCAAATTAATGATATGCTAGCCTCATCCTTTACTAATTGTTTTAACAAACTACTTATAAGTTATAATGTTTTTTAGGGAGAATGTTTTAGTATTTTATAATGTATAAATGAAGTAATTTCCAGTTAAATTATTTAGCCTTTTGTTTTCCCCTTTTAAGCATAAGTAGTCTTTGTTACTTCGTTTGCGTGAAAGGTAACTAATTTGAAGGAGTTTTTTTTTTTTTTTTTTTTTTTTTTTTTTTTTTTTTTTTTTCTTGAATAGTTGTTAAAATAACATTTACAACCAAGACTAAAATATGTATTTTGTTGAATAATTTGTAGGCTACTTTAGAGTACACAAAATCGGGGGACATTAACATTCGAAGCTTGGTCTTCGTGAACTACGATGATCAAAATGATATACTAATTTGCTCATTGAGAATAAGTGTAACACCCCCAAATCTCCCTCTATGTAAATACTATATTTATACATATACAAATACCTTAGAGATAGCATTGGGAATATTACCGCCACGTAAATACGTAAGACTTAAATAAATACTCAAGTTGCAGCTGAAAATAACTAACTTTTATTAATAAAATGAATAACCATAAAAACTTTTCAATTTACTTCAATAAAAACTTGTCCATTCATAAAATAAAATTTAACTCCTAACTATGTTATCTCATCCCGATTCTAGCATGCGCACAAACTACTCCACACCTGAAATCAAGCCTGCTTACCAGTAATGGTAAACAGGGCGAACCAAAACAAAAGGAAAATAGAATAGCAAAAATGTTAAGTACATATAAGTGCAAGACATGTAAATACTTTTATTAGGCACACATTATTTGGAATAACTATTTAAATTTAAACTTGCTACAAGTCACTTTCCCAAAATTAGACTTTCCAAATGTTAAATGTTCAAGGGTAGTAATATCCATAAACCAATAAATTTCCAATTTATAAACATTCTAATTATAAAATATAAATTCAAACCAATTTTCCTCATCACCTAAGTATGCACACCCCCCAAACAAGTTATACTATACTCGAGGAAAGACCAGATCATACAAATCTCATGGTCTTACTTAACCAGTCCCGGGTAGGGGGACAATTAAAATATCAAATACTCAGGCTCATAATGAGTTGCAATTAATTCAACCAAGTGATTTATAAAACAACTTTTATTAAATCAATAAATACTTTTAAAGATCAAACTGTTAAATCGTAAGTTATGTATTTTTAACTCATCATAAAAATCATTAATTTAAATATTCATACGCAACATTTATTTAAATAATCATTAAAATAAACATTTACCAAAATACGCATTCAAGGTTGTATCAAGGACCTAGCCTCCTATACGTACCTTGATCACGAGAACAATTAAGGTACGTCCATTAAACTTGACCACGATCGAGAGACTCATCCTACACAATTAAAATAACCTTAATTAATATAAGGTTAACAAAACTAACACAAAACTATAAATAATACTCTATTTGTGCATGAACTACCATTAACTTATAAAACCAAAACTTTATGATTAATTATTAGTACTATCATAATAATAATATTAGTCTAACATACTAGTGGTAGGAGTCTAGTACGTAATTTGAATATAACTCACACTTTACTTTTGGAGATAATTATGTATACTAATATGATTAATAGTAGTAGTAATAAAGTATACGTAACATTATTATGCATAGTATAAAACAATGCATACAAAGATGTTGGGATTAAAAGGTCAGGGGTGCTGCGTAGCACCTTACGAGTAGTGATGATGCTGGTGTCTAGTTGACGGGAGTCGGCAAATGTTGTACGGAGGAGGGTAGTAGGCAAAAAATATATGAGTAGCAGCTAGGAAAAAGATGGTAGGTTAGCAGTGTTTGTTTAAGCAAGCAAGCAAGAAAGAGAGGAAGAAGGAGGGCGTGAGTTAGAGAGTTCTCAAGAGGGTTTTCTAATTTTTGGTGTGAGTGAATGAGTGGGAAGAAGGGTCTATTTATAGGTGATTAAGGATTGAAAAGATAGGTTTCAAAGAATTGTAGAATTAAGATATGTTTGATTAGTTAAGTGAATTTGAATGCAATTAAGCCTAGATTAATTTATGTGGAAATTAAATAAAAAGATGAGGAGAGAAATACGATAAGTGTTGCTTTGGTAGAAGTAAGGATCAAGATTATCAAGAATTAACCACTTTAAAAAAAATACTATCCACCCAAACTTTAGGCTACATATAGTTGTACGTAGTAGTTAGTTTTTTAATTTTTTTTAATAAAAACGAAAATAATTGAATTAAATATTTTAGATAATATCAAAATTAGTTAAATACATAATGTATATTAGATATTTCTCTTGAAATAGTTAGTATGATAAAATATGGACCGACCTTTAAAAGATAATTAAACCTATATTATTAATTTAGAAATCCGGAAATAATTAATTATTCAAATGATTAAATACTTATTTTTGGCGCCAAAATGTAAAATTCATTTTGGCTCCAAATTAAACAATGTAGGAACTTTTCAAAATATTTTTCTAAAATTTGGGGTATTACAGAAAGTCAGTGTGATATGACCACTTTGAATTTGGATTTTCATGGATCTCAAGACATAGTCTTCTCCCTTAGTGTTTCGAGGGGTGTTCATCTTGCTGGATATCTCTACGATGATATTCCTTCACCTACTAATTTTGTTTCCCTTCCTATGTATGTTTCTCTTTCCCTATTAATCACCTTTAAGTGTTACCAGTATATTTTATGAACAACATATATATTTATTTGTTTTTTTTACTATGAATGTTATTTTTTTTGGTAGTGTGGATAATGGAGGAAGTGGCATCCAGCAAAAAGAATCTATGCTAAGTATCAAGATTCCTGGTCTTGGTAAAATCCACTACTTTTATAAATTGTTATGTGATAATAATATAACTAAGAATATGTAAAAATTTAATGTTTTGTAGTAATATTGCTGCATTATCATTTAAGAAATATTAAAGGTTGATTGTATAATATTCTATTCTATTTAGCTAAAGACTGTAAAGATTAAAATACAAACAATATATGTTTTATTTTATTACTATAGCTTTGTTAACTTCATTATTTGATCGAAGTGCTCTTAGCTATTTATTTCGTGAATACGATGGAGTATGGTTTTAATTTGCTAATAAACATATGTGGTGTCATTATAAATATATATATATGATTATATAATGGATCATTTGAAAATAAAATGGGAAGACAAAGAGTGTTTTATTGGAAAAGTTAAAAAAAAAACCTAAACAAAATAAGAAAATCCTAGAAACTATACATAAAATATCTTATTAAAATAATACTGTAATATTTATTGATAAGCTAATAAAATATTATTAGCTAATGGATGACATCATTTAATTGTTTGATAATAGGTTACCATATTCATGTATTATTGATTGTAAAAAAAAAAATCATGTATTATAGTATTGTGCTTGACTGTTTGTTAGTACTTTTAAGTATTATGTTAATCAAGTTTGTTAATATAATATATTATTATATAATCTTTTTTTTTTTTTAAATAAGCTACTACTTTGGCAAAATATTATTTTTGTTTGATACTTGTATTAGCTTTACTAGTTAAGAATTTACATTTTCAATTTCACATAAACAAAAATGTAAACAAAAATTATAATTAAGAACTCGTATAATGCTCGTGCAATACACATTTTCCAAAACAACATAATCTTTCGGATACCATAAATTTAATTAATCTTAATGTTTAATCTTGGACTCATTTATTATTAATCTTGTTTATTAATGTATTTTGATTATTACTCCTTCCCCGATTAATTGTCTGATTTTGTGAAATTTGTTTTTCATTATCGTTAATTTTCTATTGTACGTAGATCTCATATGCACTTATTCAATAAAATATAGTGTCCTTTAGGATTTCTTATTTTAAAAAAAGTACACTCATTTGTGTTGAGGTATCAGACATTCATCATTATACATACACACAAATATAGAATCACAATATTGTTGATCAATGCAAAAATAAGAAAATGACATTCTAAATAATATTTTCCGTTCTGGTATATTTATATTTTTATATATTTTTTTTATAAATTAATAGAATAATACGAATAATCATTCCTAGTAGAAATTAAATTTGTCCAGCCTGAAAATATATTGACAATGTTAGGTTTTGCACTTCTGTTATAGTAAGATATTATACGCCATCATACCTTATACTCATGAACTCAGAGTTTGTATAAATTGTAGGCTGTTGAGATTCAATATAGACATACAAATGTGTATAATAATGACATTCATATATATAAGACATAAAGTTGGCATACGAGTACTTATTATTTTGGATTCTCTGGTGTGTTATTGTGATATAAGTCTGTGGTCGAGCAGTGTTTAGGCCATAACGCGGCTTCCTGACATACCCTGTGGGACGCCAATTCACCTTATCTGGTGGATCCTCCTTGACTTAGACTTGGGGTTCTTTAATACTACACACTAGAGACCCCTCTTCGATCGATGGTTGCTTCAAATTGTCACTAGATTTAGCAATTGCAACTCTATCTGACGGAACACTTACTGTAGGCTCAATTTCCACAACTTTCTTGTTTATTTCCACCTTCTCATCTTCAAAGCCAAGACCGACAGTGTAGAGGGCTTTTTCTATTGCATAAACTTCCTTTTGCCATTTGACTATTTCATCTGTAGAGGATGCAACACAAGATACCGCATCCAAGGGATCTTTTACAAGAGCTTGGGGCTTGTTAGAAGAATTATGAACCACATTAACACTAAAACACTTCTCCTCTGTCATGGGGCTTTTAGGGGTATTATTCAGATTAAAAGTAATTTTATCGTCCCCTACTGATAGTGTCAATTTGCCTCATCTCACATCTATAATTGTTCTTGTAGTGTTAAGGAATGGTCTACCCAAAATAATTGAGGTTTGCATATCCTCAGCCATATCAAGAACAACAAAATCAACAGGTATATAAAATTTACCTATTCTAACAGAAACATCCTCTAAAACACCTAAGGGGTATTTAAAAGAACGGTCAGCCATTTGTAGAGTAATATTAGTAGCTTTTAATTTACCCATATTTAGCTTGGAACACACAGACAATGACATAACACTAACGCTAGCACCCAAATCACATAATGACTTATCAATCATTAGATTGCCAATATTATAAGGGATAGAAAAACTACTCGGGTCTTTCAGTTTAGGTGGAGATTTATTTTGAAGTACGACACTACATTCTGAAGTGAAAGCTACTGTCTCTACCTCACAAATAGACCTTTTTCTTGTCAATATTTCCTTCATGAATTTTTCATATGCAAGAATTTGTGTAATTAATTCAGTGAAGGGAACTGTTACCTACAAATCTTTAACCATCTCCAGAAACTTACCAAACTTTCAAGTGACGATTGGGGAATGGAAATTTGATAACTGGTTTTGGAGCATTACTACTCTTATATGGAGCTGCTACCTTCCTTGGAGTCGTACCCTGCAATGTATTATCAGAAATATTAGTACTACTCTTTAGCCCTGCACGGCTATTAACTATATTGTTAGGTTTAATGGAATCAAGATTAGCATTATTCATTAAAACATGTTCATCATCTCTGGGCATAGGGGGCCCTTCATAGTGTGAACCACTCCTTAGAGTAATTGCAAAAGCTTGATCCGAAGGCCTGGTTGGCTGTGATGGCAGGGCTCCCTGTTGACGGGCTTGCAGTTTAGTAGAAATCTGCGCAATTTGATTATCAACAATTTTATTATTTGCTATGATCGAATCAATTTGAGCATCTCTACTATCCATGTGCTTCTGCATACTAGCCAGCATTGCTCTAATTTCTTCCAAAGAAGGGTCGGAAGATGAGGAGGGTTGTTGTGGTTGGTTCTTCTGGCCAGCATTGGGGTGGTAATATTTCTGCTGAGTTTGTTGTGGCGCCCGTGATTCTTGTGGAGGTGGTGGATTTTGAACATTTGTGCTCCGGTAGGAAAGATATGGATGATTCCGATACCCAGGATTGTAGGTGTTGGAGTATGGGTCATTCTGCCTATAAGCTTGAAAGACATTGACTTGCTCCATGGGACTCCTGTAATTTTGCTCCCAATGACCTACAATTCAACAATTTTCACAGAAAGCCTCATTAGCATTATTATTAATTACAGAAACATTAGCTAAATTTGCAGTACTAAGATTATCTAATTTTTGGCAAATGGAGGTTAATTGAGCTTGTAAAAAGGATACAGAGTCGACACTATGTTTCCCTTTGTTAACAAAGCCTCTTGGATTCCCATATTGGGAATTATGTATTGTCATATCTTTAATAACTTGACCTGCATCATCAACATTAAGGTTCATAAACCTCCCACTAGCTGTAGAATCCAATATTATTCTAGATTATCAATCCTATTGTAAAAGGCTTGGATCAACTGCCATTGTGCCGGATTATGGTGGGGGCATTCTCTCTGAAGATCCTTGAATTTTTCCCAAGCCTCGTATAGAGTTTCATCGGCTTCTTGGGCAAAGTTCTGAATAGCACTCTGTAGGCGTCGTTCGAAGTGCACCTACGTAAAAGCATGTGGTGAATATGCTTGGCACTCTTAGGAAGTGGGAATTGACATATACGATTATGGACAAGGAAAGTAGGGATCCGACAACAAGTATTTAAGGAACTTGTAAACCGTTCACGGATCATAAAAGGCAACCACGAATAAAGGGACAACGATATGCAACAACGATTGACCCGTGAAGGTTACACCCCATTCATAATCCATGAGATTACTAACTCCATATGGTTCGGAACCACGAAAGGAGGATCGGGGATGATGGTACGAAGTGAGTCATGGAGTCACATTCGCCTGTATTGGCCTCTACTGGATTCTTATATTGAAAATTGATTCATGAGATCTCAAAGGCATACAGACAAAATATTCAATTCGCTCCAAGCTATTATTAAGCTAAATTGGTTAAATATTAATGCAACATATAATTCTAAAATATTAGTGATCACTTGATTTAACAACAAGATTAAAAAGGATCCTAAACCGGTTGTCCCAATTATCTTATTAGGCATGATTTTCAATTACATATTCCTTTAAACATGCAAAATGGTGATCATAAAAAATATAATAGAATTATCATTAATATTATAATCAATGTAACAATAAATTGTTAGTCAAATCAAATATAAATAAACCTAATCATGATGCTAGCAATATTAAAATAAGAGTAATTAAGTGAATCAATCACTCACTTTCCGCGTTTCCTTGAATTGCAACATCATGAATAAACTGTTAGTAACTTCAATAAAAAATATAAATCAAATTGAAAATTAAATTAAATAAAGGTAGATTTGATTTGGTCCAAACCCTCAGTCAATTATACCTTTCACGCATTGGTTTAAGTATAGAACTTAGGGTATTGTACGGACTCCTTGGAGTGCTTTTAGGAGAAATATTATGGAAGAATAGGGAGGTTAGTATTTAAGATAAAGAGGGAGAGGAGAATTATTTGTTGATCAAGCTTGTTGATGATTGAAAAAGGGGAGATATGACCTCTATTTATACAGAAAAAAGAAGGGTCGAAAAAACAAGATAAGATCCGAATTAAATCGGAATAAAACTAGATAGACAACAGGTTTTGCGGTTTTTGTTTTTTATCATATCTTTTGATCCAGAAATCAGAATAAGATAAATAAAATGTCGTTGGAAAGATCTTGAAATTTACTTCATAATCCAATTAGAATCAGATTAAAATCCCTTGTATAATAAAAGATATAGACAAAATAGTGGGACGGTGTCAGTTTTAGATAGAGTTTGATATTTAATTCATATCTTTTTGTTATAACTCGGAATTGATATTATAATGTATCATTGTAAAGATAATTTCAAGAGATATCCAAGCATATAAGATTTGGATAAAAAATATGAGGCACAAAAATTTTTGGGGTTTGGTAACTCCAACTTACCGCGGAAACGACCCAAACCCAAAGAACCACTCGCAATTAATAAAACCATAAAGCATAACAAA